TTCAACTTCATTTGTTCTTTTTTTTTTCAACTTCGTTTGTTCATGTGAGTCAAATTCACGCTATTACTGTTGCCATTTCCTCATTCCAGTATAGTTTCTTGGTCTCTTTTGGTACTGTATTTCTATGTCATAGGCCCAGGAATACAGTTACATACGTATAGATTTGTTAAATTGGATAGGAAGAGAAAGAAGAAATTTGCTTTTATGGTCTCATTTCCAGTTCCCATATTCCTCCCTGTCTATACCCATAGCCTTTGAACTAGTATTTAGGATCATTTATTTTCAGCCTAATGAACTTTTATTTCTTGTATCTTGTCTTTTGAACTAGCCAAAGGATGATGATGATGATGATGATGATGATGATGATGATGATGATGATGATTTTACCAGGAATCAGACTGAAGACCTTGTTCTTGGAAGGCAGGCGGGTGCCACTTAGTTAAATCCCTAGGAAAAATACCATCATTATTATTTTTTGGAAACAGGCTCTTGCCATATAGTTCAGGTTGGCTTTGAATTCATGGCAGTCCTCCTGTCTCAGCCTCCCGAGTGCTGAGATTACAAGTGTATGCCACCACATCTGGCCTTAGCAAAGGATTCTTGAGTTTCTTTTGTGTTCTTTTTTTTACTTTCCAAGGAGTCATTTATTTCACCTTTGATTTTGCTGTTTTTGTGTGATAGGTTTTTGTAAATTTTTTTCCATTATACCACATACATCATCCTAACTCCTTCTAGTCATTATTGTTTCTGATGAGAACTCTGATGTTAATCTTATTGAAATTACTTTGTATGTGATAAGTTGAATTTTTCTTGATGCCTACAATTTTCTCTTTGTCACAGGTTTGTCTATTTTTAAACATTCATTTCATTGAGCATTTTTTTTCTGCTCTTTGGTCTTCCTCCACTCTTTCTAGTACTTGTTTTATAAATACATTGGGGGAGTTAATGGTGGTCAGTTTCTGAGGCTTTCTTGATTCTTCTCTCTGTTCTTATAGATTATTTAATATCTATTATTCTGTGCTCATGTTCACTATTTTGTTGTAGGGTTAATTCAGGGAAAGGCCAGAATGTGGTTGTTACATGTATGGAATTTGATCTTTGAATAGATCTGGCATTGCAAAACGTTGGATAAAGATAGGACAATTTTCAGAATTTCAATTACTGAATGTAATTTAACCTTTACACATGGTGTTAATATCTCTCATTTGCCAGGAAGTATGGGCTGCATAAAAACAGAAACTTTGCCTGTTTTCTTTCCTGCTCAATTAACAATGCTTGGCATATAGGAGATACTCAGAAATATTCTGCGTGTTGGCCTCTTAAAAAGTATAAAAAAATGTATAAAAAATGCATAAAAATGTATAAAAAAGTATAAAAAATGAAAAATGGTTGAAAGAGATGGACAAGCATTTCACAGAAGAGTACACAGAAATAGATATGGAAACAATAAAAGACGTTAAGCTTCTTTAGTAATATAGAAATATTGTAAGACCAGAGTTAATACTTTATACCAGTTTGGATTAAAAGAATTATGTAGTAATGGGGTGTGGTGGCACATGCCTATAATCCCAGTACTCTAGGAGGTTGAGGAAAGAGAATTATGAGTTTGAGCCCAGTCTGGGCAACTTAGTGAGACCCTGTTAAAAACTGAAAATGAAATAAATAAGGGCTGTGGACATAGCTCTGTGCAGAGGCCCTGGGTTCAATCGCTAGTACCCCCCACCCCAAGAAAGGAGAATGCAAAAAGTAATCTGATAATACCAGTTATTGTTGGTAGTGCAAATCAGTAGAAATTCTTGTACAGTGTCATAACCACTTTGGAAACCTATTAACTTGTATAGTTGAATATATACATTCCCTTTGATCTAGTTTTATACTTTATACTGTACCTTTAAGATTGTGTTTGTGTGTGTGTGTATATATATATATATATATATATATATATATGTATTATTAATGTATCATTGGCAGATACTTTTAAAACTAATGGAAATATAAAGAACAAAGACAGCATATATTAAGTCGTACTTTTTAGAATCAATAAACAAAATTGTACCTGAAGATTTCTGTTAAAAACAGTCTCCCTATCCAGCCAAGAGGGAATAACAGGGACTGGATTTACTTTCCCATCTGAGACAGCCAGTTCAGTCAGAGGAGATATATGAAGTATTGACTCTCAGGCAGTGGTCATCACACAACCAAGGACACTCTCAGGTAGAACCAGAAAACATAAGACCTGAGTCCTTGGTCCCACCAGGGCAGAGATGGTAGACCCAGCAGAGAGAGCAGACCCAGTCACTGCTCTGCACATTCACTGAGTTGAGCATCAGGAGCAGTGAATCCAGGTAGGTTTAGGTTGCTTGTGATTTACACAGGTGCTATATGCACACAGATGTGCCTGGCTTTCTGGAGCAAGTACTAATTCAGAAGCAAGTACTAATTGATGCATGTGTATGAGGAAATTAGTGAGAGAACTTTTGAAAGAATTAGAGGGAACAGGGGGCGGCCCTCAGACAGTCCAGGAAAGGACTCTTCTCACTAGCCAGAGTGAAAATTCATATTTCACAGAGGGCTTGAGAGCTCTGAAGGCCTTGCTCAGGACTGAGGCATGATGTGTCCTAGGCTCAGTACTGCTCCAGATTTGAGCATAAAAGCAATACACAAGAATATTACATTTTCTAGGTGCTGTAAGTGTATCCTGTAGGAAGCACAAAAATACTTCCAGAATCCCAAAGCACCTAGCATCCTGCGATTTGTTTAATTTACAGTGTCTTCTATTGCTTAAAAGGTTAGTAGACTAATGAACATGTGGGAGAACATGGAGTTTATTGAAGGGACTAATATATATATTTGAATGGACTCAGAATTGCCATAGACCCCCCCCCCATACCGGGGATCAAACTCAGGACCTTGCACTTGCATGGGAGGCCTGGTGCCCCTGAACTAAATTCCCAGCCCTCTAGACTTTAGAATTAGCCAACAGCTCAGTGAAACAGTTATTATTACCCCATTCCACAAAACAAATAAAGTTTAGTGTGACAAAAAACTTGAAATATTTCCAGGAATGAGAACTGCAGTGTTGAAATGAAAAACACAAAATTAATGGCAGATTAGACATTGTAGGAGAAAACATAAGTGAGTTTAATACATAGTATTAAAAACTATCCTGAATGAATAAGGAAAGGTGAATTTTTGGTTAAAAAAAAAACAACCCAAAAAACAAGTAAACTATCTGTAAGCTATAAGTACTTCAAGTACTCAACACATGGAATTGGAGTCTTTGAGTCAAAAGAAACGGATCAGAAAACATTATTTAGAGAATTAGTGATGAAGTCATTTCCACCACCCACTAAGACAAGACATTTAACACTAAGCAGAAGAAGCACAAAGAAAACTAAAGGGCATGAATCATAATCCAAATGCTTTGAAGTCTTGTTAAAGTGAAATCTTAAAAATAGCCATAGACGAAAGACACATTTTACAGAGGAACAAATATAAAGATAATACCAGATTTCTCCTTACATGAGGCAAAGAGAAGATAATAGAACATTATATTTAGATTCTTAAAAGTAGAAACACCTGTCAATGTAAAATTTTATAGCAAAAATGGCTATCAGAAACTGAGAAATAGGAAATTTTCAGATATATAAAAGCTAAACGATTTCATTACTAGCAGACCTGCACTACAAGAAATGTTTAGATGTCTGGTAAAAACCTGAATCTGTCCAAGGCATCAAGAAGAAAATGACAACCATGGATATGTATATAAGATATTTTTTCTTAAATATTAAAAAAATCTTACTTTAAGAAAAATTACAAATATATTCCATTCATTGAAAGGTTACCAGACAATAATAACAGCAAATGTAATGTGTGCCTTAGACATAGAATATATGATAGCTTTAATCTAAATAAATGATAGTTTTAGTTTTAGGCTGAGAGAAGTAAAAGTATGCTATTGTAATGTTTTATATATGAAGTCATATAATACTGCTTAAAGGCATACTGACTAAAGATGCAAGTAACTTGATCACAAAAAATGTAAATGGTCTGAAACAACCCTGTTTTTTTTTTTTTTGTGGTATCAGAGATTGAACTCAGGATCTTGCACTTGTAAGGCAGACGTGGTGGCATGGAGCTAAATCCCTGGTCCTGAAACAACCCTTTTAAAAGGCAGGGAGGCCAGTTGAGATAATTTTTAAAAGGTCTCTCCATCATCATCATCATCATCATTGTATATAAGAGAAACATGGTACATAAAAAGATGGAAAAAGATATCCACTGGAAAAATTAGTAGAAGGCTGCATGCAGTAGTATGAATCAGATAAAGTAGATTTTAGAGCCGAGAATATTATTAGCCAGACATTTTTTTAAAGATTGATAGAGATGAATTTATCAAGACAAAATAACCTAAACTTAGAATAATAACATTTTTTATACATGGGACACTATAATGTATCAAGTATAATATAAATTTAATATAATATAATTTTATGTACATAAATGTATGTAATTTTATGTACATAATATATGTAATTTTATGTACATAAATGTATGTAGCTAATGAGTATTATCTGTGCATATACTTTTTTCTTTTATTCCACTTTTCAAAAACTGGTTGTACATTTTCATTTTGTCCTGGCCTTTGTCAATAGTGTTATCACTTTTCATTTAAAAAAAAAGAAAAAAAGAAATAAACTTGTGTGATCTTTCAGTGGATGCAGAGAAAACACTTGTTCAAACTCAAAAGTATGTGTCCTCATAGCCAGATTCTTCTTCCTTTTTCCATTATATAAGGCTCAATGTTTGTGATTTTTTTTTTCCCACTTCAAACCCATGGAATAGAGAAAACTGTATATTTGGATTTATTTTCATCTATAGAAATGGAACAACAACAACAAAAAACCAGACAATTTTGATTTAGAGCATGTGTAGAGATATCTTCTTTCATAAAAAAGTGTTAATATTTTTATGGTAAGATTAGTTTTTCTTATTTTCAGAATTTTGGAAAACTGATAACCTGAAGGAGAGGAGCCAAGAAAACCAACCTAAACATTTGTGGGGAGTTGTATTCATCAGTAGCACAATGCTGACTAAGGAACAAGGTAATATAATAGGGAAATCATTTAACTTGGACATAAATTCTTTTCCTTCTAGAAAAATACTCTGTCACTATGACTCATATGGAATGAATTTCAACAATATTTCAAAATTGGTTATTAGTAGAGAAAATTACCTAGGAAAAAAGCTGGATGAATTTAATGCCTGTGGAAAATTGCTACTCAAAATCAAACATGAGAAAACTCATACTAGAGAGAAAAATGAATGTTTAAAACATAGTTCCTTTGCTTATCAAGAGGATCCCATTCATCCTGAAGACATTGAAACTTTAGACAAAGCACTGGAATACAATGAGTGTCAGGAAACAGTCCTTGAGCAGACGTTAGTCAGGACACACAAGAGAGAGAACACGGAAGAAAGTGACTGTGAATACAATGCATGCGGAAGAACTTTTGGTCATGGCTCATTCCTTTTGTTTTCTGAGGTATCTTCCTCAAAAGAGAATTACTGTGAGATCAATGATGAGAAATCCTACTGTGGGACATCCACCCCTTTCAAACATGATAGGGTACATGTGAGATACAGTGAAAATGGGAATGACTTTAGGAGGAAGTTATATCTCTCCCAACTTCAGAAAACTCCTAAAGGAGAGAAGCACTTTGAATGTAATGAATGCGGGAAACCTTTCTGGGAGAAGTCACACCTCACTCGACATCACAGGTTGCACACAGGTGAGAAACCCTTTCAGTGTAATGTGTGTGGTAAAACTTTCTGGGAGAAGTCAAACCTCATTAAACATAATAGATCACACACTGGGGAGAAACCCTATGAATGCAGTCACTGTGGGAAAGCCTTTGGCCATAAATCAGCCCTCGCTTTACACCAGAGAACACATACAGGTGAGAAACCCTATCAGTGTACTCTGTGTGGGAAAACTTTTTACCAGAAATCAGACCTCACCAAACATCAGAGAACACATACAGGGCTAAAACCCTATGAATGTTGTGAATGTGGGAAGTCCTTTTGTATGAATTCACACCTTACTGTCCATCAGAGAACGCATACTGGTGAGAAACCCTTTGAATGTCCAGAATGTGGGAAATCTTTTTGTCAAAAGTCGCATCTTATACAGCATCAGAGAACTCACATAGGGGATAAACCCTATGCTTGTAATACATGTGGGAAAACTTTCTACCACAAATCAGTACTCACCAGGCATCAGATAATTCATACAGGATTGAAACCTTACAAATGTTACGAATGTGGGAAAACTTTCTGCTTAAAGTCAGACCTCACAGTACATCAGAGAACTCATACAAAGGAGAAACCCTTTGCATGTCCTGAATGTGGGAAATTCTTTAGCCATAAGTCAACCCTCTCTCAACATTATAGAACACACACTGGTGAGAGACCCTATGAATGTCAGGAATGTGGAAAAATCTTTTACAATAAATCATACCTAACTAAGCATAATAGAACACATACCGGGGAGAAACCCTATGCATGCAGTGAATGTGGGAAAACTTTCTGCCAGAAGTCACAGCTCACTCAGCACCAGAGAATTCACATAGGGGAGAAGCCCTATGAATGTACTGAATGTGGAAAAGCTTTCTGCCATAAGTCAGCTCTAATTGTGCATCAGAGAACCCATACAGAAGAAAAGCCCTATAAATGTAACGAATGTGGAAAATCCTTTTGTGTGAAGTCAGGACTTGTTTTACATCAGAGGAAACACACAGGGGAGAAACCTTATGAATGTAATGAATGTGGGAAATCCTTCAGTCACAAATCATCCCTCACAGTGCACCACAGGGCTCACACAGGAGAGAAATCCTGTCAATGTAATGAGTGTGGGAAAATCTTTTACCGTAAATCAGACCTTGCTAAACATCAGAGATCACATACTGGGGAGAAGCCCTATGAATGTAACACATGCAGCAAAACTTTCTCTCAAAAGTCAAACCTTATTGTACATCAGAGGACACACACAGGAGAAAAGTCTTGTGAATGAACTATTTGTATTTGTTCACCAGTCAGCCACTTCACTGTACTTTAGAGTAGTCACACTACAGAAAGCTCTCGACAAATGTTTATGTTGTAGAGTAATGACAAGGTAAGCCCATGGTCTATGTTATGTGTTGTTAATTTCCCAAAGCGAAGTAGAAGAGGCATCTTCCTCTAGATTGAGAGGGCACTAATAGTCCAAAGAATTACTTGGACAATTGCAGTTTGGCAAATGAGGTTATTGTAGATTATTTATAGCACAGTGGATGATTTATGGGCTGTAGCACTTCTCCCTTTGCTAAGCTATTTGTTTTATAGGACTCTGAGGTAAACAGGAAAAGAAGCAAATGATAAGTGTCCTTGAGAAGAGTTACCTGTACTGTGTTCTGACTCATCCTTATTGGGAACTTCACTGGTCTCAGCAAATACTGTCAAGACCCAGTGCTGTGTTACTTTGCTGTGCTGCAGCCTGACACACAGCCTCAACCCCTGGCAAGAGCCCACTGGAAAGCCAAATAATAGCTCACTGCAAGATGGAGTTGCTTTGGCTAGGGTTTGGAGGACTTTTTTCCCTATATTCCACCCATTCCTCTGGCTCATATTATTTTTGCTGCCACCTCAGTGACATCTCCTGCACTTCAAGGGAGAGATATCTCACTTAACTGAGAGATGAACACTAGCCAGATTATGTCAAAGCAACAGTACAGACTATAGCAATACACTCATTCCTAGTCAAACACCAGTCAAGGGTATGTGTTCCCAGGTAAAGAACCTAGCATGAACATCATAGACATTTAAATCGTTTATATCCGGAGTGTCTGCTTGTAAGTGGCTTAAAGCATCTGTTACTTTAGCCTCATTATCTGGCACATGGTGCCATTGTGAACACAGGTGCCTCCATAGGCACCAATCAGCATGAGCAAAGTCATTTTGTGTTGAAACACCACCTTCTATGTTCGTTTTCTCTATAATTGCTTACCAAGCACTTTCTGGTGCTCCCTTTCCTATTGGGCCATTCTTCATGAATGACTACCATCAATACCACTTTTAGCCTAGCCCATTGACTGTCTTTCCCTTTCCCAAATGGTGTGTGCACCTGTATCACCACTGCTGTCCATTTCAATTATGTGTCCCTACTGTTGCTGTTGGTATAGTAAATACTTTCAGGAATGGGCATTGTACTTTCTAGCCCCTTGTCTAGCCTCACTGTTGGTTCAGTCACTGGAAGAAGTTCCATCACTTGGAAGTATACCAGCTCTAGTATTGCCTGCATGACATTTGTCATTCAGCTAGCAGATAGGATTGCATACTGCCCAAGTGTGTGTGCCGCTTTTGTAAATTCTGATGTTATGCCCTGCTAGAAAATGGTTGACCCATCAAGCCTTTATTCCCAGCCCCTTACTGGATATGCAGTCTTTAGTGTCACCGAACAGATCCAGGGATGGATTCCACCTGCTGTAGGGCTTTATATATGGCTAGCGGTTTTTGTTCCAGTTTTGTATACTTTATCCGGCTTCTGCCCCTTTCCATGATCGGGCCAGAATTGTATTGGAACTGTTTAGGTTATTTCTGCCATGATCCCCAGTTGTAGATCTCAGAGCTCCTGATAACTTCTAAAACATACAGGCACTGGGTTACTGGGATACATAACTATTTAGCCTGCCTCACAAGTAGCTTACTCAAAATCCTCTTGAGCCCCTTTTTCCCAATTCCACATGGTCACCTTTTCTCAGAGTTATGTAATAGGCAGGCAAGTGGAGCAAGGTAGAATATAAACTGTCAGTACCCCCAAGACTCCTTAAAACACTGTTACTTTACACCCATTGGCACAGGCTGTTTCATGAGGTTAGTTCATTGAGGCCAGGCCCTTTCATCACCCCCAGCTCTTAGCACCTTAATGGGTTTATCCCAGTTCTCTTTTTGATACATGCCTGTGATTGGAGTTCAGCCCTGCTCCTGTGAGGAGGTACCACCTTGGGGCACCTTAAATCTTAAACAGCTTTTTTTGCCTACTTAAATCATAACTGCATTTTGCATTGTCATTAGCAAATGACATTATTTCCCATAATTTTGGGATACTTTCAAGCCATCCCCATACTCACATGGTATTTCCAACATGGAGGCAGATAACCATCCAGGATTTGCTTTTGGGCAGTTATCTCAGTATCAGTAGCATGTCTTACCACCCATAGCAGTGGCCTTGAAATATTGGCTATCTCTTTATTTCAGTCCCATCCCATATGGACCCTCTTAGATTGTGAAACATTCTCTAGTCCATCGGGTGTTGACTAGACTCATTTAGGACCCCATATACATGCAAAGGACAGCTACCTTAGCATTTCCCCCATAGATACCCTTCCCTGATTTACCCTTTATTCTGCTGTGTGAGGTTTCAGATGTGTCATGAATTTCCCAGAGTAATGTAAAAGAAATGTCTAATGAATTGAGAGGACACTGACAGGCCAAAGAATGACTTGGACAATTTCAGTCTTTTGATTTTGGTGCTTTTTTTGGTACTGGGGATTGAATTTAGGACCTTGCACTTGGGAGGCAGGATCAGTGCCCATGAGCTAAATCTCAACCCTAGACAATTTTAGTTTACCATGGCTTACTTACAGAGCAGTGGACAACTTAGGAGCTGCATGATTACTGAAATTGTGCACTCTCAACCTTTTGCTGAGCTACTGGTTTTATAGGGCTGTAAGGTAAACAGCAAAAAGTAAAAGCAAAGAACAAGTGTCCTTGGAAAAAGTTATTTGTACTCTATTGCCACCTCATTGGGAACCCCACAGGTCTCAGCATGCGCTGTCAAGCCACAGTGCTGGGTGTCTTTGTTGTGCTGCTGTCTGCAAAAGCCTCAGCACCTATGGAGAGCCCACTGGACAGCTACACAGCAGCCACTACAAGGCAGCATTGCTTTAGCTAGGCTTTGGAGGATTGTTCTCCTACAAGTATATTGTTAAGGTTGATAAAAATATGAAGAGCTGGGTGTGGTGTTACATGTGATCTCAGCACTTGGGAGGCTGAGGCAGGAGGATCACCATGAATTCAAGGACAACCTGGATTACATAGTTCCATGGCCAGCCTGAACTATATGATGAGACCCTGTCTCAGAAAAGTATGAAGTTCTATGGATACTTTTAGTTGTTTTTATGAAATATAGAAACTGGATTATTGTGGAACTTATATTGAGAAATGTATCTGTTTAACTATAAATTGAAATTTTAAAATTACAAATAATCTAATATTACAGGTTATCTTGGATTCGATGGCATGATTTTCTTTGGAAATATAAATAGCATTTTATAACTCAATGTTCTGGAATGTAAAACTTTAAAAACTTAATAGGATGGGGTAATAGTACAGAGTATTCCAATGTGCCTTTGACAGTACTATGTTACATAACCATAGTGTACTCTGAAGTTACAACAAATTGAGAATGTCACACTACTCAGAAATAGACTTTATTCAGGTATGACCATATCTTACATGTGCCCTGTGTTTGTGGTGTAGTCCTATCAAATTTTACTGCTTGTAGGTTTGAGTAACCATCAGCAAAGATGCAACCTAATGAGATTACAGAACAGTAAGAAATCTTGTCTTAGTTGCATCAGGATTATGTTTCTTGTCTTAAACACATTCTTTGTGTAACCCTAACCCTAATATCCATTTAAATAGGAAATTTAAAAAATGCACGGGTAATTGAATAATTTGGACAGTAGCATTCATTGCATATGGGAAATATCCCTAACTTGCATAGGACATGTGTGCTCACATGGTAAGTTATGTGAGATGTGTGTGGGCTTTATGTGCACAGTGGAATGTAACATTGTTGTGAATAGTAAGTAGGTATTAGCTGAATAGCTGTCACAATAGCAGGCCCATCTTCAATATTTATAAGGCCTAAAATAACAGTTTAAAGGAGGCTGTCTTAATTACTGTTTTTATTATTGAGACAAAATACCTGATACCCACAATTTAAAGGAGGAAAAGTTTATTTTGGCTCACATTTTTTATAAGTTTCAGACTATAGTCATCTGCTCCAATATTGCAGAAGAGAAACAGTTCATGGCAGAGTAAGCAGGAGGCAGCAGCAGCCAGCCTGCCTTCTTCCTGTCTCTTTATATTTCATCCAGGCTACCAGCCTATTGATTGGTGCTACCCACACCTGGGGGCGGGGCCTTCCATTATCCACAGAACTACACTAAGCCAATTTAGTTATTTCACACCCTTAATCCCAGCATCACATACTTATGATCCATTGACATCACAAAAACCCCAAGTATGAGCATATGAGGCTTTGGGGGGACATCCAGACACAGGCTGTACAGAAGCCTAGAGAAGTAATATCTAGCCACTCATAAGTTATAAATCAAAATCAGAAAATGTTAAAAAAAAAAGAAAAGGTTTCCATGTGTGTGGAGATCCATATTGCTCCTTTTCTCATTGTAGTTCCTTCCACACACAAAATAGGCCAGCATTTTACTAGAGTGGGGCTTTTACTGACAAACTAAATGCCATACACTACATTACATGTTCAGTTATACAAATCATTATAAAAATGTAATATTGTAAAATTAAACAATCTAATAAGGGCTGGGACCTCAGCTCAGTGGTTCCATGCCAGCCTCACTAGTGCAAGGCCCTGAGTTTGGTCCCCAGTACCAAAAAAATAGAAAAAAACAAAACAAAACCCCATAATATAATAATCTAAGCTTATACAATCCAAACTTCCACTTTCTGAAACAAAAAAAGAAGACCAAATAAAATCCAGAGTAAGCAGGCAAGGAAAAAAATAAGCATCAAAATAAAGTGAATGGGGGCTGGGGATTTAGCTCAGTGGTTTTGCTACCTGCCTTGTAAGCACAAGGTCCCGAGTTCAATCCCTGGTACCAACAAAACAAAACAGACAAATGAAGTGAATGAAAACCAATAAATCCAAAAGCAGTTTCTTTGAAAAGGTCAATGAAATTCATAATTCTAAGCCATGCTCATTTAAAAGAGAGTACATTAGCTGCTAATATCAGGAATGGATGAAGTGCCATTACTGCTGATCCAGTGGATGTTGCAAGGATTGTAAAGGAATATTATAGACATTTTTGCCCATAAGATTGGTAACTGATCAGAAGTGGGCCAATTCCTTTTAAGGTACATTCTGTCAAAACATCTGCAAAGGTAAACTTGGTGTAAAGGCACATTAAGAAATAGGCATATTAAAGAAATAGCGATATTTAATAAACTTCCAAAGCACATACCACATCCAGATGCACTTGTAAGTTCTACAAAACATGTTAGCTAGAAATGCTGGCAGTTGTTTTTGTTGTTGTTGTTTTCTTTCTTCTTTTTTTTTTTTTACAGAGTATAACAGCAGAGGAACACCACTGACTTATTCCTTGTGGCCACCATTATCCCAATACTCAGTTCAGACACTTCAGGAAAGGAATAATACAGGCAATTATCTGTCTTGAATGTAGATGCAGAATTTTTCCACTACATATTAGCCCATCAAATTCAACAATGTATAAAAAGAATTATACACCATGACTATATGGGGTTTATTGCAGTTGTGTGAGACTGAATATCATATCATTAAGCCAAAGACAAACTATGAACCTTGCAGTAGGTGCAGTAAAAGCATTTGACAAAACCAGTAATTACTTGTGATAAAACCTCTCAACAAACTCAGAGTACAGAGAAATTTCAACAGGGTACATAATTACTACAAGCTACAGTAAAGTCATAATGTCTTAAACCCAGATGCCCTCTGGCTAAGATGAGGAACAAGGTAAGGATATCCCCTTTCACTCCTGCTTTTCAATATCGTTATAAAGGTCATAGTGAGTGCAGTAAGACAAAGAAAAAAGAAAAGACACTGAGATTTTGAAGGAGGAATTGATTGTTACTTGATCAGGTACAGCTGCTTACTCCATGACAGGCTGATTAAGTCAAGAGACAAGATGTTGATGTAAAGTAGGTGTTTTTTTTTTTTTCAAAAACCATCTAGAGAAAGTAGGGGACTTTAGTCACAGAGCCTATTTTTCCTGGAAGCTGATTCAGGTGTGGTTAATCTAGGCAGTTGATGGATGTGCCCAGACTGGCAAGCATCTCACAGCAGTAGGGGTGGACGATGCTGCCTAGCCATGAGATGCTGCTCAGGTTTTACAGATCTCAGAGTCAAAGGTCTTTATTCCCTCAGTCTGTTCCTGTCACCAGTTACATATTTCTCAGTGGACAGGTTGGGTGGAGGGATTGCTTCCCCCAAAGCCCTCTCAGTGGTGGAAGTGAACAAAACCATCCTGAACGATCAGCTTCAGTTCCCCAGATCCCCACCATCAGATGTCCATTCCTCAGTGTGTGACTGCTAGAATCAGGCATCCTCCCTCACACGTGTTAGAAATTCTGGTTTTATCTCTGATGTCAGCACCATGGCCATCTGTTAACAATATTGACTGAAAAAGTCGATTAGTTTCCCTTTGTCAGTTTTACCTGGGGCTCCTGTTGGGAAATATGGCCTCATATCCAAAGGAGCCCTACAGCTCCCTTAGTATTTTTCCTGCTGTGAAGGAGGCTCGGTATTCACATTGGATTCCCTTTTTTCAAACATACACCTTTGCTGATATGTTTGAAGTGAATCCCTGCCCCATCCCAGAGTACTGCTCCATTTGGGAGTATAAGAAAACAGTTCTCATCATGGTTTCCTGAGTGTAGTTCAAGCTGCTCTCAGGAGAAGCACAATGACTTCACTTAAACAGCTTATTCCAGGCTCTTCAGGTTGCAGTGCAGTTAACATTACATTTGAAACATGATTAGTCAAAGGCTGAGAGTACTCTGAATTTCCATTCTTTGTGGAAAAAGTGGCCAAACATTTCCATGTTCCTGAGCTGCCAACTTTTCAAGCTTTCATTATCTTTCCAAAAATATATTAAAATTTCTACTCCATTGCAAACTGTCCCAAATAAATCCCTATCTAATTTTGCTGTTTTTATATATTCAGTTAAAGCAAAACAGATGTGGAAAAAAATTGGCTCCAACCATAAAAATCTGAGTTAGCACTGATCATTTTATGGTCATCTGGCTGTAATGCATGTTGTGCAGAAGCACTTTGGATTACCTGGCATGAAATAAATCCATACACTTATAACTCTACAAACTTGAGTTACATCTCAGACACATAGCATGCTGAATCCTCATATGTACAATATTCCTACAAAAGATAGAGATAAGCCATCATTTTAAGTTATTTATTCTTGTCAAAGCAGAACCCCAGAATTGGTGTGCTTGAAACGTAGAAAGTAATGGACATTGCCTTGTACTTTCATTTTCATATTTATTTGCATTATTTCTGGAGCATTTGTTACAAATGCTTTGCATAGGAATATTTTGTTGCTTTACCTTGTGGAATATGTGGGTCACCATATTCTGACTGTTGAGCACATTACCTGAGTTCTAACAAGCAATCAGTTAAAATGGCACATGACAAAAAACATCTTCCTGCAAACCACAAAGAACATCCAAACTGTGTTAACCATGCTAGATCCCAGATGATTACTTATTCGTAACTCTCTTGGCACAGTTTAAAATAACCCTTGGCTGGAAAACAAACTATAAACAAGGCAAAAAGAGGGATGTGATGATCATGGGCAACTGTCCTGTACAACAGCGAAACTAGTAACAAAAATGAAGGTTCAGCACAATTTTCCTTATTGTCATTGAAGAGATCTCTTCATACTTAGAAAATAGTTAAAAAAAAAGACTTAAGAATAGACTAGTTCAGTCTGAAGGGATCACAGTGGACAGTGCTGATATAAACTAGACTTCTTTTGCATAGCTTTTACCAGTTTACTGAGTTCCAATCAGAGCTGATACTGAGGCAGTTCCTTCACTGAAAGGACTGGAATTCTCCACCTCTGGCCTGTGTTGTCCCCTGTATTCCACCGCCACTCTTCAGGCTTTTCGCATATTCTCAGGAGTTCCACCCCCCACCCTTTTTAAAAGGGAAGAATATCATTATTCCCTATGAGGGTTCACATATATTCTGCCTCCTCCTGCCTGAGAATCACATCACTAAGCTTTCTGGATCTGGAAACTGGTTCTACCAATGTTGTGTCTAAATAATGTGTTTTATTGAACCCCAGCAAAGCAGGAAATGAATCAAACTCTCGATCTCCTGTTGGGAGGCTAGAAGGGATCCCTACGGAAGGAGGCTGAATGGGTGCTGGTGGCCCCAGTGGGCATGGGCTGCTGCTGTTGATGTAGTGGGAGATGCATGATTTCTTAAGTTGAGCACATAGTCCCTGGGTCTGGTGCTCAAGTCCTGCGGGCCAAGGATTTAGCTCAGTGCTTTGGTGGCCTGCCTTGTAAGCACAAGGACCTGAGTTCAATCCCCGGTACAAAAAAAAAAACAAAAAAAAAAACACCTGTGCTTTTGGCCCGGCAACAGTGAACTACCTCTGGCTGGCTGAACTTTCTGCTGATAGGGAAAACTTTTATAAATAGCAAAAGCCTATAAAGTATTACAATATAAAATGGCTTCTGCCATCCCTAACAGCAGTGTGCTTTGTTGAGTTCAGAATTAACAGACACCGGAGGCATTAACCACTAAATGAGGCATCTGTTCTCATCCTGCGATAACAGAGCATATCAAAACCCTGGGCGCCGAAGTTCTGTAAACCACATGATTGTAAAAGTATCAAGATGAAAAGAACCATTATTAATATTTGCTTTCCTGACCCTGAACACTCCCTTCCTATAGGCTAGGATAGATAGGCTAATCTTCAAGGTAAACTCCCCGAACCACGAAGAATTGCTACATCTGGGTTGAAAGTTAACTGTTTTGTGTCCATGATTTGTTTGGTAATGTGAGAATAAAATGTAACCACCTGAATGAGACCAAGGCTGTAAAACCCTATAAAATGAGGTGTTGTAACCCAGTGCGTTGTCGATCCAGGCATGACTTATGTGTGATTGATCCTTATCGATAAGTAAATTTATTATTTTACTTCCATTCTTCTGTCTCTCTGTGTGTCATTTACTGATTCCTTCCATAATATCGCAGTCCCAGCTACTCTGAGCCTTTGAGTTGAAGTTACCTGCCATGGCCACCTACACACTGAACCACTGTACCTGCCCTTTCCAGCCCTTTTCTCTGAAACCTAGGAGACCAGCTCCAGTCTTAGCCTCACAGCAATCACCTGCTTTGCCAAGCAAAAGTGTTCTTTGTTGCAGATCCAGACTGGTGGCAGGAGCATCTTGCAGGTGCACTCTTTACATTTGCACTTGCTACAGTCCTTGTGCCTCTAGATCTGTAAGCCAAGTCCTGTAAACCAAGTCATCTCTGCTTGGTAGCTTAAGATCACTGGCCTTGATCTCAGATTGGGGCTGCACTCAAATTATTCCATTACCCCTGGAAGGAAAGGTGAGCTTTTATTTTTATCCTTTGCAGCACCAGTTTGGATAGATGTTGAATTTTTCATCAACTAGTTTATGTACCCCCCCAAACAAAGATGCCACTGATACAACTGGTTAAAAGTCCAGCAACTATCAGATCTGCAGTTTGGAACTGCAAAAGCCCAAAAGTGGGGTGTTTACCCGCATAAACATTACCTAGTTGGTGGAGAAAGGAATTACTGATACATGCATTGGAGTGATTTAGTGAAAAGCCATCCACTTTCCCAAGTGTCAACTCCTGTGTCTTTGTAGGGTGCTTGGGAAGCCTGTGCTGTGACTAAGGAAGACAAGGAAGAGATCCCTAGAACAAAGAGGTTCCAGCAGCTGCTAGATGCAGTCCAGAGGCTTTCCCTGTCACCAGGCTCTCTAGATGGCTATTAGCAGGGGTCATTCTAGGTGACTCCCCACTTGTTATCAGACAAGTTGGGCCACTTCTACCATGACTGGCCAATTAAATTTAGACAGTGTTGAAGTAAGGTAAGCAACTTTATTCCAAAACCTGGCTAGAGAAGATAAACTTAACACAAGACCCATCCTGTCTGACCTGATTTAGGGGTGGTTTATACAAGTGATTGATGAATACTCCCAGACTAGTAGGTGTCTTACAATGGAAAGGCCAGATGATGTGTATCTGATCCTTACTGCCTACTGAGGAGGTGCTTTTCAGTTTCTGCAGATCTCAAAAGCAAAGATTCCTCAGTCTGTTACTAATGAGTCACCATTTTGTATTACCAATTTGTTATATAACACAAGGGATAGGCTAGAAGGGAGGAGGCAGTTTCTGTGAAGCCTTGCTCGTTGCCAAACTTCAGGCAAGGAATACAAATATTAATGCTGTGTTTTAGAATGAATAGATGAGCTGATTTTCCAGGCTGAAAAACTATAGTAGTGTACAGATGCATATGTATCATTTGTTGACATCTACAAAAAAGCTGCTAAGAGTGAACCTTAATGTAAACCATGTACATTACTTAATATTAACTTAGCATCTCTTTCCTCCTAAATGTCTTATCAACAGTGGCTCATCAGTTGTAATAATTATAACACACCAACACAAGATGTTAGTAGTATTACAAATTGTGGAGGAAGTATGAAGGATTATGTGGGAATTCTGTTTTTTGCTTAGTTTTTCTGTAATTCTAAAACTGCTTTTAAAAAATAAAGTATATTAAATAACCAATCAGCTGTGTATAGCAATATGGATGAGTCTGTATGAAGGTGTGTTCTTTTTTTAAAAATTAATTTTATTGGATCATCTTAGGTATACAGTATAATGACATTCATCATTGGAGATTTGTACCTTTACATAAAATATCTTAATTCTTATTTTTTCCCATTCCCCTGCCCTCCATTCAACCCCTTCATTCCCTCTATTTATAAAGACTTTGTTTCCATTTTTTCATTTTCTCATATTCCATTCCCTTCTTTCCTCTCCCCTACCCCTCCCACTTTGAAGGTGCTTTCTTTTATGTTTCTCATGATAAAAATATCATTACCAATTTTTCTGTATGAGATGGGGGCAGTGGGCAAGGAGACAAATTCTCAAACTTCCTAGGTTGACAAATGCTGAGCATATCTTGAACTACCATTTTGCTTTTCTAAGCCCTATCTTTTTAGAAGAGTCTCAGGTTCCTTTCCTTTGTATCATTTTTTTTCCTCATTGAGTTTATTGGTACATTTTAGGTATACAGTACAGTTTCATTCATCATTAGGATCTTGTACCTTTACATGACTAGTCTTGGTTCTTATTTTTTCATATCATTTTGATTGTGTGCTAAAAGTGTTTTGAGTCATGTTTTGGCTCTGAGACTACAGATGTCATTGTTGCTTCTTTGAATTGCTTTTGTATGCCTCTAATAGAAATTATACTAACTGTGGCCTGAAGTTATGGCCTAAATTATCATCTCTTTGATAGCTAAACTGAGAAGGCTTTGAATGATCTAGCTGTACATTTCCTTCCCCAATCTCTTCTACCCGTAGTGTCCCCTGGCCAGATGAACCTCTGCAAAAGGCCCCATGTGCAGTTCTTTCTTGTCTCTGCATAGCAGGGTTAATTTCCTGTTGTCCCAGCATTATTCACACAAGCTATCACATCCTCCCCAACAAAGCACCCTTATGATTGCGCAGAGTGCTTCCCACACACTCTTCTTTTTCATTGTGCTCCTAAGTAGACACCCGTTTGGCCCCGCATGGCATGCGGTGCCCTCCTCACCTTACCTGACAATGCATCTACAATATTACTTTTTGTAGATTCATATATGTGGCCAAAGTAACAGGCCTGTGTTTTCTAAAAGGCCTGGAGAACATACACCAGGTTCATCTCTTTCCATTTTGGCAAATTACTGGAAAATGGAGGTTCTGGCTGAAAGGTGTGAGCAGCTTGCTTGCACTGAATGTCAGTTTTGCAGGGGGCGGTTTGTATCTCTTTCCACCTTAAAATGGTCTTGACATCAAAATAACTGTCACTTGGCTCTACCCCTACATGATTAGCCATTGTGTGTAACCTGTTCAGTAGCTGGTCTGTGAGGCTTTCACCTATAAAAAGCAGGGACAGCACAGTGTCTTCACTGGTCAGCACTAGAGCTCCATACCAGGAGCTGGATAGAGTCACTTGTGCATATGTCTTGGTGACCATCACTGCTTGGGGAAGCTATGCATACCACTGTTTTTGTACACTCCTGGGATGAGCCCAGATGGCCCTTTTTGGTTTCTGCGGGAAAGTAGGAGACAGCCACTTGAGAGAATTAAGCACGGTGTCCTGCTGGCTGCCAAGATTTGTTTAGGCAAGAGCAATGGCTGCACTCATCTCTGAGCTGCCATTACACACACTCTCCAGGCCCTTTGGGAGCATTAAGGTGTATATCCATGGCACCACAACCAGTGAGGCAAGAAAAGGGGATAACCTCTTTGAAAGTACCAAAGGAGGGAACAGTTCATAGGCCTGACCAGTGTGCCTGAGCTTGCTCAGCAGTACTGTCAGCCAATATGCCAAAAGACTGATCTTGCAATGATGTGACTCGTCAGCCCTCATGAAGGCCACAAACAAGATAACTTTATGTGGGCACTGATCACAGGGAAGTGACTGTCACCTTGGAGGGAGGAGGCAGCCACTCACCCAACTGGCTTCTGGGCTCTTGCACCTACTCCTTATTCACTCTTCAGGTCCATGCTACTGGTAAGTGGACAGAAAAAAAAAAGAAAATTATGACTTTATAAAGCCAGAATTCCAAAATACTGAGGGAATTTTACCTAGGTGAGAAAAGCTTGCACTATGAGAGAAAAAGCAACCTCCAACGAGACAGTCCTTTCAGTCAACCTCTGGGTTATAGTTAAAGCATACCCTTGCTGACCCCCTGTGCTGCTGCTATACCTTGGATGCAGCAAACATCCTGAATATTTACAGTTAGAGGGAAAAATATCCACCCTGTGGATTAGACAAATTTGATTATTACACATTGCATACATGTATTTTATTAAGTATTATTGTGGATC